GTCTCTGTACACAGAGAGCTGTTACCCTTCCCTTTATAGTTATGACAATAATCATGAAGCGGACATTGTGAAATTTTTTGAAAATGGTTCGGACTACATATTGAGGCGCCCAAAGACAGACTAATCATGATACACTTTGCACAGATTCCCCTTTTGTTTGACTTTCCTGTTTACATGTTTTGAAGCACTTTACCCACTGTTAATATTTTAAATCTTCCTGTTTTGTTGTAAATAAATGTTTACATGTTTGAAAGCACTTTAGCTACTGTTAATATTTTAAATATGCCAGTTATGTTGTAAATAAATGTTTAGATATTTAAAACACTTACTGCTTGATCCTTCCCCTGAATCTGTGTCTGGGGTAACGGCGGGGGACGGTTGGTAGGGGATCTCTGTCAGGGTGATGAAGAGCTCCTGGCTGTCGGGGAAATCAGCGGTGCCAGCGCTGTCGACTGCCTCGTCCTCCTCATCTCCTTCTTCATCTTCCCCGTCCGCTAACATGTCGGAGGAACCGGCCGCGGACAATATCCCATCCTCAGAGTCCACGGTCAGGGGTGGGGTAGTGGTGGCGGCCGCACCTAGGATGGAATGCAGTGCCTCGTAGAAACGGGATGTGTGGGGCTGGGATCCAGAGCGTCCGTTTGCCTCTTTGGTCTTCTGGTAGCCTTGTCTCAGCTCCTTGATTTTCACGCGGCACTGCGTTGCATCCCGGCTGTAGCCTCTCTCTGCCATGGCTTTAGAGATCTTCTCATAGGTCTTTGCATTCCGTCTTTTGGAGCGCAGCTCGGCAAGCACGGACTCATCTCCCCACACAGCGATGAGATCCAAGACTTCCCGATCCGTCCATGCTGGGGCCCTCTTTCTATTGGATTGCACGGCCATCTCTGCTGGAGAGCTCTGCATCGTTGCCACTGCTGCTGAGCTCGCCACGGTGTCCAAACAGAAACTGCGCTTCAAACTGCCCAGACAGGAAAAGGAATTCAAATTTTCCCGGGGTGTGGCTGGTCAGAGCATCCGAGCTCGGACTGCTGTCCAGAGCGTCAACAGAGTGGTGCACTGTGGGATAGCTCCCGGAGCTATTAGCGTCGATTTCCATCCACACCTAGCCTAATTCGATATGGCCATTTCGAATTTAGCGCTACTCCTCTCGTTGGGGAGGATTACAGAAATCGATTTAAAGAGAGCTCTATGTCGAACTAAATGGCTTCCTGGTGTGGACGGGTGCAGGGTTAATTCGATATAACGGCGCTAAATTCGACATAAAAGCCTAGTGTAGACCAGGCCTAAGAGTTAAAGGGTCCTAGTTTGAATGCTACTTAAACATAGTTATATCCACACAGAATCCACTGAATTCTGGGGGAGTCCAGGTGGGAGTAACTTTACAGTGGGGTGTAGCTGTGTAGGATCCAGGGCCTTAGGGTCTAAGCCTATGACCTGTACTCTGCATTACAGTTGACCCTGTTGAAAGAACTGGATTTCCTCCAGTGCACTGAGCTGTAATACTTACATATGTTAATAAATGCCCCCAGGTACTCTAAGCTGTACAGACATGAATATTTTCTTCATTCACAAGTCTGTTGGCAAACCTAATTCCATATTCTGCTGTTCGACTTCTGTGATCTGAGGATCCATATTTCAATAAACAACATCTCTTGGGTTGCAGAGAACAAAAACATTTCCCCTCATTACACATTAAATAAAAGGCTCTCTGACAGCTGCTGCTTCTGTCCCCTGCTGTGATTAATTGGCACCTCCAGGAGCAGCGCTCATCCTCTCAGTCAAGGAGGGGACGAGCTGCCCCTGGGTTTGACTGAGCAGAACCAGAGGCTCGGTGAGAAATAGTAGTGTAGTGATAGGTTCTTTAAGTGTCCCTTGAGTCTTGGAGGGAAAATGGGCATTCTAAATCTTCTCTTCTACCCAACAAAACATTCTCTCCAGTCATCTGTCCTGTAATTGTGTTCCTTGCTGTGGCAGGTATGAGTTATGTAGTTGTACCAAAGGAACCTGACACCACCAGAAGTGTACTTTCAAAGTATCAGAATCATGACAGTCTTTTTCCAAAGAATAAACAAGAGCAACAGCATTGGATATAAGTGTTTCAGAAACTTTATCAGCAACATCACAGACACAGGATCAATATGTATGCAGCTGTGAGGAACTAAAACAAAAGAGGAAATAGGAATTATTTGTATTAAAGTAATGCCTAGAGGCCACAATTAGATCAAGAGCTCATGTGTATGAACAGTAAAAGGAAGCCTATGCCCCAGGGAGATTATTATAATTTATTATTTGTTCTGATGGAGGATAATATATTTTGCAGAGGATTACGGGGAGTTATGTTGTGAGGGGCACACTGGAAGAAAGAACAAAAGTGCTAGTTTGAAAACTTCAAAAGTGAGCAATGGAGGCTAGCATTATGGGCTCATTAACTATCAAGACATTCACTCCCACCTCCAATGAGAGAGAATATATAGGGTGAGGACAAGTTGGAAAGGGCCTTGAAAGTAAAGACAAGTATCTTATGTTTGATGTGATGATCTTAATGGAAAACTGATGGATTATCTTGATCCACATTATACCTCCCTTATTTGAAGCTTTGCCCTTATACGGTGGTCTAGTGGCTCCCAGTAGTGCCACTATGTTTAAGATGGCACCAGCATTTGCATTATACTTTTTTTTATCCAACTATAAAAAATACTTTCCAAGCTAAAACTTGGCATGTAATTTCCCCTCTCTCTCTCTCTCTCTCTCTCTCTCTCTCTGTGTTTTCCCAAAAATAGGTTTATTAGGCTGCATTTTGTACACTTGCAAATATTAAAGTGCACAGTGAGGTTGCTATCCTGCTACTGACTGCATGCAGGCACAAACGACTGGCATGCAATTTCTTTCCCCATGTCTAATTTGCCCATACTTGCTGATTCAGGGTCTTAAACAATCCAGAGTGTTGTACTATTGACTGGCTGATAATAGGGACTGTGCGGTTGTTTTTAGCCTTATCTTCCAACCATACGTCTCCATTCTTCCTCGTTACAATGGACATGCCTCATTTAAGGCATGCATTTTCCTCCACCTCACAGAACTCTTGTCCTATGTGTTCAAAAGTGACTAGTGATTTTGGGTACCTCAATTTTTAGGGTGCTTCAAGGTGTCAAAAAAGTGCTGATTTTTTTTTCAGAAATGTTGAGCATTTCAGATGTTTTAAGTTGAGCAATGAAGAACTGAGGGCCACTTTTTGAAAATTTAGATACAGAGAGTGTGTATGCACCTCCGCTCCTACATGCATGTGCACACAGCGTGGGTATATAAACTTTGCCATTTAGATGAAATCTTTGGGGAAATCTTGGACTTCATCTTACTGCAGTTCTTTAATTGCAAGTTTTATTTAGGTCAAAGTAGTTAGAGCAAAATGTACAATCTTGTTTTCCTTTGGCAGATTTCCCTCTACTGTACAGCAAGAGAATTGGGCTTCATTCACAGGAGACCTCTGCCAGATCTCAGAGTGCTCTTGAAGATTGCGTATCCCAATCACAGGTATGAAGGAAAACTCTTAGTAAAATAGCGGTAACAAAACAGTTATGTATGTGTCTCTCTCTCTCTCTCTCTCTCTCTCTCTCTCTCTCTCTCTCTCTCTCT